GCCTTTTTTCCCATTTTTCGACCCTGCGGTTTATATAACGGTGCGGCTAATCTATGGATTTTTACAGCTAACGGCCACTAGGGGACCTCCTAAATCTATGGATTTTACAGGTTACAGTCCACCACCTTTAACTCTATGGGCTCTATGGCCGGTCCGCGGACCCCCACCTTTAAGCGGCGGGCTCCAGCAGGAAAAGCTGGAGGCCGGAAAAGAGTGAGACAGGTAGTGCGCAAAAGTAAAAGTGGAACCGAGAGTGGTACGAGAGACAAAACGAGAGCAAGACAGACAGACATTACGAGAGCGAGACAGTTTGTCCCCGTACCACTGGTTGAAAACCACTGCTGTAGATCACTGCCGGTACGTGCGCTGGGAGCGCACCGTTTAAGTTTGAAAGTTGAAAAGTTTGTGTGTCTGAAACGCTATGTGATACAGTACAGTTTACACAGCACAGTACATGTTCTGTAGCTACTATTGCACTAAATGCTAACACTTGAATACGTTATGCAAATATGCAACTTGTTTGTTGAAATGTTAATAAATGGGAGCTTCCTCAAACAGCCATCTCTTTCCCGACAATCCCCTCTGTGCACGAACCCTTACATATGGTAATTAAACATTAAAACACCTGCCGCTTATAGTCCAGTGCGGCTTATATATGTACACATCATTCAATTTAGCTGCTGCGAAAATGACGGTACTCAGTATTTGTGTGCATGCCATGCATTGAAACATTCATTGTAAAAAAAATGACATGTAATGTATTTCCAGAAATGTTTATTTCTTTTCTTTAATTTTACTTGAAACTGTTATGTTCATTTTGCTTTCAAAAATATTGTACATTTGTCTCACTTCACTACTCATACTTTTAGTGTTTTTTGTCTTTTCTAGCGATATGTCAATAATACAACATTTTGTTTTTGTTTACAAACATTGCAGCAGGTCATAATGTAGAGGATTCTTTTATTATAAGTGTTACTCTACATTCTTGCAGTTAATTGATGACGATGTTGTGTTTCTCAGGCAGATCAGAGGTTTGTGTGGAACGGGAACCTCCTGAGAGAACTGGCTGCGCAGCCTGAGGTACCACTTCACTTTCTCACTCAATGCTTTTGTACTCATTTAATGAATGACAATAATCGTACCCACTTCTCCACAGCTTCACAAGTTTGCACTTCCTGTTGTCCATGGATGTATCCTTTTCACTGAGGGTTAAACATTTTCTAATGGAGCATGACTGCAGATAAGATCAGACGTATACCTGTGCCAAGCCTTTCCTTAACCCTACTGTTCCAGTCATCGTCATGAAGCCGTGTCGAATCAACGGGAAGATCTTCGAGTGGATCCTCATCTCCAGGAGAAGCTGTTTCCGGGCCGGCGTCAGATACTACGTCAGAGGTAAAAATGTCTGCTGTACTGCACCAAGCCTTGTGGATTTGGACTTATTGACCATTACAGAGTGCAAAGTAGCAGCTGCCAACTCAGGCCCAATTCCAATCCATCCCCTAGTGCAGGGGTCGGCAACCCGCGGCCCACGGGCCGCATGCGGCCCTTTAAGCCCTCTGCTCTGGCTCCCTTGAGCTAAGACAAAAAATAAGAAGGAAATAAAATAAAAGTATTTGTAGGACTATTTATATTTTGTTGCACGGTTGAAAATGTTTCGTATCTTGTATTTTGAGGTGATACTGTGACGCATAAATAAAAAACAAAACGGTTTTAATTAGGTCAACTAAAATATGCGTCACATCCTGCTACGGTCCCGCGCGAGCGCCTTTTCCTGCGGGTGAATAACCTGACCCCCGGCTCGATGAGCGAACTATGGATAAATCAAAGAAAAGTACAGGAGGAACACAGGATTTGATTCTGTGTGGACAGAGTTATATGCTTTCACAGCAAACGATGCTGGTTTACCGGTATGTTTGATATGTAGAGAGAGAAGTTGTCAAAGGTGCTGCAGCCTTTACGTATCGAGCGGGAACAACACGGGAGAGGAAGACAGCTGACGATCTTCAGTCATAATTCAATGGGGTATGTCATTTATTTCAGAAAACACTTTTTGTTATATTCCATGGAATGCTCTTAACGTCCCGATAGCAATGAATATATTAAATGCTTTGACAATAAATACATAAACATTTTTA